TCCCAAACAACCAGAAAAGCTGAAATGCAAGTACAACGAACACTGTATTCATACCACACAGGTTTAACAATTAACATTCTGTGTTTGTTCTAGATCTTTCTTTATATGAATGTGCACACATTTGTTTTCTGAAATGTCTGAAAATAAGTTTCAGACAGTGTGATACTTTCACTCTTAAGTTCCCCAGAACGAGGGCTGTCTGTCACATGAGTGCAATGCCATTAGCACGCCTAAGAAAATTAACATCTTTATTCAGACTTCCCCACATATGCCAAGGATATCTTTTTGAGCTTTTTTTTTTTTTTTTTTTTCTCTAAAGAGGAATTCAATCTAAGCTCCCACGCTGTGTGTGCTGTCCCATCTTTTTCGGCTTCTCTTAGCGAATACTTCCCTCTATACACTTTTTTTTTTTTTTATGATAGTCCTTTTTTTTTTTCAAGTCTAGACCATTTTATCCATAAGATGCTCCACATTCTGAATTTCCCTAACTGCTTCCTCATTGTGAAGCGTAATACATTCCATCTCTCTTGCATCTCCTATACATTGAAGTTTAGGTCAACAGCTTGACTCAGGGTAACATTTTGACAAGAATAGGTCATCGGTGACATTGTGTGTTTCGTGTTGCCCCACATCAGGACTGACAAAATGTCAGGTTGGCCACCGTTTGCTCCATTGGGGCAGGTGTTTACAACCCACTCTCTCTACAATAAGTCAGTCATCTGGAAGGTCATTTTACACTCCTCCTCACCCCATTTGTCCTTCCTTCTTTCACTGCTTTGGTTCTCAACCTATTGCTAACCTCAAGGAAGTTATTTCATTTCCCTGAAACATTTTTCCTCCATCCAGTAACTAAAAATAAAACACAAGGTTATTGTAAGGACTCCGTGAAGTAAAGGATGCGAAGCAGTTTTGTAAACCGCGAAGTGTTTTGCAATTGTGAGTTCCCCGTGTTCCCATAAGGAATAAGTTTGCTCTGAGCGGCCTGCTCATTCGGGGGGAAGCCATGGTGTTCTTGTATCTGCTCAACAACCAGCTCTCCAAAGACAAAAAGCCCTGCTGTTTAAATTTTGCCCGTTTTGGAGGTGTTAATCCTTCTGCCCTGGCCGACTTCAAGCTACCAACTCGATGTCAACCAAGCTACAAAATTTCAGAATATTGAATAATCAGCTCTTTCGAGCTTGAAAAAACCATACCAGAGGTAGGGTTGCCAGATTCAGCAACTACAACTACCGCCAATATTTGGGACCTATTTATACTAAACAATTTTTTGTTGTGTATCTGAATTCAAATTTAATCAGGTGTCTTGTATTTTATTTGGCAACCCGATGTGGTGAGCATGTCTGTGTGTGCTTGTGTGCTTGCATGTGTGTACGTGTGTGTGTTGGGATATAACTGAGGCCCTTAAAAAGACAGGCACCCTCCTCCCCAACAACTTCAACCACAGAGGGTCTTTATGCATTTGGCTTATTGGCATTTTTTTTCTTCCCTTTTCTTCATTTTCTTTGGTTTTGTCGGAAATGTTAGACCAGAATTTCCCCAATCTATACTCTGCCTTCATCCTGAGTCTTCAGGACAAAAAGGAGACTTTGAGGACAATTAAGAAGTTTATCCAGGGGCACGTGGGTGGCTCAGGGGTTGAGCGTCTGCCTTTGGCTCAGGGTGTGATCCTGGGGTTCTGGGATCGAGTCCCACATCAGACGCCCCACAGGGAGCAGGCTTATGCCTCTACCTCTCTGTGTCTCTCATGAATAAATAAATAAAATATTTTAAAAAAATTGTAAGCAATACGATGAACAATTTTTTAAAGTTCTAAATTATTTCAAGAGGATTCCTACCTCGACCAAACTCAACTCCAGCACTTTTCAAAACACACGTGTAAACACAAAAGTCAGTCATCATTAAAAAATCTAGAGATTGGGGTTTTCTTTAGAGAGCAGGTAAGAAAATGGTGACTAAAAACTGGTGGCCAGGATCCCTGGGTGGCTCAGGGGCTTAGCGCCTGCCTTCAGCCCAGGACGTGACCCTGGAGACCCCAGCTCAAGTCCCACATTCGGCTCCATGCATGGAGCTTGCTTCTCCCTCTGCCTATGTCTCTGACTCAGTCTCTGTGTCTCTCATGAATAAATAAATAAATCTCAAAAATCAAAAAAAAAAAAACTCTGGTGGCTTATAACAGCCCCTGACAAAGAAGCTTCATTGGCAACATTCAGGAGAAGCAGTTCCTTTTAAGATTATGCATGTGTGAGATAAATTGAAGCCCTGAGCATGTCTGCCGTGGCCACACTGACTGAGGCAGGATATCCTCTGCCCAAATATTTATATTACAGATATTACAGAATATATAAGAAATATATGTAGTTTTATTGGGGGAAGAATAGGGAGAAAAAGTAGTTTTGTGGTTGTTTTTGTGGTCTGAGTGGGCTCATTCCCAAGAAAACATGCATTTGATCTGGTGGTCTACCTGTACTGACCAGTCCCCCCACCCCACCCCAAGGGGAACCGCTGACTGGGGGGCTTGGGCCACCGAGGTTTACTTTCTCGCAGTTCTGGGGCTGGAGGGCCATGGGAAGGTGAGGGCGGGTGCTTTCCTCTGAGGCCCCGCTCCTTGGCTTGCAGACGGCCTCCCTCTCCCTTCGGGCCTCTCTGCCTCCCTCTGGTCTCCTCACAAGGACGCCAGCCGCAGTGGCTTAGGGCCCACTCTAGGGGCCTCCTTTTAGCGTAATCACTTGTCTCCAGGCCCCATCTCCACATCCAGTCACATTCCAGAGGGACGTCACAGCAGGATTTTGTATTTTTTTAATTTTCTGCGGGGGGCGCGGGGGAGGCGCGGGGGGTGGGGGTGGGGTGGGGCACACCATCCGGCCTACGGCAGCATGTGCTTCCCCGTAGGTCGGTATTCCGAGGAGATTCGAGCTGTATGTTTCCAATTCTCTTTCAGCGGGAAAAAGAGTCAACGATTCAACAGTTTTAGTCAACATGCAGGCCTGAGGGCACAAGGCCCTCGGGCGCCTTCCGGCCTTGCTCAGAGCACACTCTTTACGATGTTCTAGAAAGTTCTGCTCCATCTGCTCTCCGCAGCGCCCTCTCCTGAGAGCCAGTGTCCCCCACGGGGCCTCTACTCCCGGTGGTGGTGCCGGGCTGGGGCCACGAGGCCGCTCCCCGGCTGAGGTCTGGGCGCCGCACTCCCGGGGCAGGGAGGTCACTGCTCCCTTCTTTCAGTCACTTGGTCCTCCTGAGCGCGTCCCTGGCCCGCGCTCTCAGGGACAGTCCCTTACCCTGACCTTCCCTGCTTTAGGTTTTTTTCCTCTGGGGCCTTTTTTTTTTTTTTTTTTTAATGATTCTATTTATTCATGAGAGGCAGGGAGAGAGACAGGCAGTGGGACTCGATCCCGGGACCCTGGGGTCACGGTCTGGGCCAAAAGCAGCAGCCGCCGGCCGGGCCCGAGCGCCGGGGCCACTTGGCGTGAAACCAGGGCCAGGGAGGTGCTTCGGGGGGATCTTCTTTCAGGTTCGCCTCTGTGGAGAGGACCGGGAGCCGCGGTTGGGGGCCCAGGCCTTGGAGGGGGGCAGAGACAGTCAGTTGGGGGAGGTCTCCCGTCTACACCACCTGCCCAGGTGGGCCTCGGGCGCCATACGAGCCTCGGCGCCCCGGGGAACCCAAGTCATCACCTTAGCAAACGGGCTGCGCCGGCCGAGCAGGAAAAGTGGGGTGATTAACGTTTTGCAGCCCCAGCCTCAAATCTAGGCTCAGAGGAAGTGTCACAGCTGATGCGGCCCACCCTCCAACCCTGCCTCAGTTTACTCACCAGGCCCCCAGGGGTCGGTTTTCTCTCCCCGCCCTTCACCCTATAGGGATCCCCTTGGAAACCGGTTACCGCACAAGGTCATCGCAACTGCGGCAGCCTCGTTGAGTCGTGAAGCTGAAAAGCAAATTTCAAGAAAAGCAAATCAAAGAAAAAAGCAAATCAGAAAAAAATCAAATTAAAAAAAAAAGCAAATCTTAAAAAAAAAAAGCAAATAAAAAAAAGCAAATTAAAAAAAAAGCAAACAAAAAAAAAGCAAATTAAAAAAAAAGCAAACAAAAAAAAAAATCCAGGATCCGCCGCCACCGCCAGTATCCTGCCCCTTGCCCTCCGGTCGGGTCGCACACAGCACCCATCGCCGTCTATATCTCGTTCGCTCGCTGTGTCGTGCGCGTCCCCCGCACTTGCGAACGTTTCTTGGAGAATCGCGAGTCGCGGGGGCGGGCCCCCAGCCCTGGGCGCAGGCGGCCCCTCCGGGCGGCGGCATCAGCGGCGGCTCCCTCCTGCGCGGCCGCACCCCGCGGAAGCTGCGTCGCGCCCCGGGCCCGCAAGGAGCGGCGGCGGGAGGCGGGGACGCGCTGTCTGGGCTCCGGGGTGTGTGGCGGACGCGGCGCGGCCCCCGCTGGCGGCGCAGCGGGCGACGTGCCCACGTCAAGGACGAGGGCGGGCAGCGGGCGTCAGGCCTCGCCACCGCGCGCCGGGCACAGGGCTTGGGCGGCCGCCAGGGGAAGCCCCTGACTTCTGGGGGGCGGGGTGAGCCGGGTGTGCCCCCGGAGCTCAGGGGAGTGACGGCGGCCGCTGACCCCTGACCTGGGGTGACTGACAGAGGCTCCTGCTGACCCCTGACCTGAGGGGAGCGACAGAGGCCCCTGCTGACCCCTGACCTGAGGTGACTGACAGAGGCCGCTGCTGACCCCTGACCTGAGGTGAGGTGGGCCCCTGCTGATCCCGGACCTGAGGTGACTGATCGAGGCCCCTCCTGCCCCCCGGACCTGACGTGAGTGACAGAGGCCCCTGCTGCCCCCTGACCTGAGGTGACTGATCCTGATCGAGGCGTTGAGATACAGGATTCATTACTAGTGACCTCTGACCTGAAGCTACGGATGACCTCCGACGTGAGGTCGTGACGTGAGCGACGTAGGCGTGGTGACGCACGATCGGCGACCAGTGACCTTCGACGTGAGGTCAGAAGGAAGACGGTCCGCTCCGCGCGGGACCAGGCGCTTGTGGTGCAGAAGGGCGGAGAAGCCGCGGCGGGGCCGGGGCTGCTGGCTGCGCTCGCGGCCGTGGAAGACCCTCGGGACGAGAGGCGGACACGGCAGGGCCTGCTGGGCGCGCTGGGGCGGTCAGTGTTCTTCCCTCCGGAAACGGAGGCTGGAGTGGGGGCGACGGCCTGTGTGTGTGTATGTGTGTGGGGGTGCGTGGGCTGTGTGCGTTCTTGGGACGGGGTGGGCGCGTGGGGGGTGTGGGGGGTGCGTGCGGGAGGCGGGGGCGGGGTTCGGGCCGCAGAGGGCGGCGCCCGGGGAGGGCTGCGGGGCGGGGCAGAGGGCGCTCCGTGGGGGGCGGCGCAGGGAGGCGCTGGGAGCCCCGCGGGGTCAGGCCGAGGCCGCAGCCCAGAAGGCGGAGGGCGCGCATGCGCGGCGTGGGGGGGCGGGCCCAGGGCGCAGAGCCTGAGCGTCCTCGGCCTCGCCCGCAGCGGGAAGCGGCGGGGGATGACTGGCGGCAGGGAGGCGGTCGCGCGCTGACGCCGCCTCGCCGAGGCCCGCTGCACTGTGGGGTCAGGAGCGCCGGCTGACCGTCTTCCCTGAACGGAGTCTGCGCTTCACCGCGTTCTGCATCCGGTCGTGGCGCCCGTGTTGAGGGCCGCCGTCTCTCGGCCTTTCGCGAACGATTAAAACTCGATGAAGCCCCCCTGAAAGCTTCGCGATCCAAGACACGTGCTGGGAGCGTTCTTGGGCGCCGTAAACCCGGACGGGAGCCTTCCCTCTGCCGCTAAGTAGCACGTTACTCGGTTTTTTCCCCATCTCAGTGTCCCCATCTATAAAATGGGACGGTATCTGTTCTCATAAAGATTTGGGAAAAAATTGTTCGAATTCATGCACGTGGAGCATTTGCAAAGACCGAAAACTAATTGCTATGCACCGTGATGGTGGTTCCGAATATTATTTTCTTTCTTTTCTTTTCTTTTTATTTATTTATTATAGTCACAGAGAGAGAGAGGCAGAGACACAGGCAGAGGGAGAAGCAGGCTCCATGCACCGGGAGCCCGACATGGGATTCGATCCCGGGTCTCCAGGATCGCGCCCTGGGCCAAAGGCAGGCGCCAAACCGCTGCGCCACCCAGGGGTCCCCCGAAAATTATTTTCTATACGCCAGTAACTGAATCGCGTAAGTCGGTGACATCTCTACCCCAGCAGCCTCATTTTCCGAGCATACAGCAGTTGGCCTAGGCGGTCAGTACTGCCTTTTCTAACCCTAAACGCTAATAATTCTGTGATCCTAAGGCAAGGTGTGTATGGCCTGAGGAATCTATTATGTGATTTCTTTTCAGATACATGCACAGGTCTCCCTCTCCACTCTTAAAAATGATACATTAAAAAATTGATACATAACAAAAGTGACTGAAAATAGTGGAAAGTGCCTTCAGAGAGCGTTAGGCGAGCTGAGCCTGCTTGCCCTCAAGCTGCGGGGTAGCCCCCTCGCCACTTTGTCGGCCCACGCGGCCGTGGCATATGACCGTCTCTTACAGGTGCACCGGAATAAGGGCCAGCTTATCAAACAGAGTGAACGACATGATGATTTTAACAGCTGTCACAGGCTCTTCACCGGTTTCCAGGCATCCTTGGCGTGTGACCACCGTGGACGCAGCCTAGCACGCTGGGCACTGCGGGCAACACATGAAGGGTCACTGATCAGGCTTAAAGTACAAGAGCTGATGCAGGTGATCAGCTTTGCCACACTCCTCCCAGAAAACCTCTGATCCCCTTGCAACTCAGTAAGGGCGGATTTCAAGAGCTGTCCCAGAGTCTCTCTGCCCTCCGTGGTGGAAAGTGGCGGAAAGTACAAGGCCCGTTATGTAACTTTCAGCAAGCTCGTTGGCTAAGTTTACAACATTTGGTAAAACCTCTAATTTGCATGTGCTTTCTTTGGATTTTTAAGTCTGTCCAGTTTTGTCTGGTTTTGGAGCATCATCTTTGGAGGGAACGTCAAACAGTTCTTTGGAAATTCTGACCAGTTCCACCAACCGACTCTGATGGGTTGGACCTGTACTTTTACACCTACCTTCGTTTTTTTGCAAATAAAATGCCCTAGTGAGAGCTGTAGGGATTTATGGTGAGTGAACTAAAGATTTTCTTTCTCTGTTTCCTTTGACTCAACGTTTGAGAGCACTAAGTGATGTGGTTTAGCTGTGAGTGTGGGTTGGCATCCATAAAAATATTTTATACCCTAAAGTAGGCAGAGCCTCTGACTGTGGGACGAGAGAACCCTCAGCGAAATGTATTTTGGCAACGTTGTTATTTTTGTAGTGTTTATCATAGCCTGCTCTTGGGTCAGTTTTCTGTATTTATGTCTCCGTCCTGTGAGGGCTTAAACATATACATCTTACTTCCTTTGAGATTGCCAAGAGTTGTGCACTGAACAAGTATTTACTGATCATTCATTAATAAAATAACAAAGTTCTTTCATAAACTCTTGGGACAAATTGAAGAAAGTAAGAAACTGTTTTCCTCTGAATAGAAAATAAAATGGCATTCATTTGTGTTTAGATAGAAAAAACCCTGGGTATTTTGTCCCGTCTTAAACCAGTTTCCTTGTACTACTATTTTATTTAGAACATTTGAGTACTTAGAGAAGTGAAATAAACCTCCACTCTTCAAAGGTTAATTAGTCCATAGAGCTTTCTGTACAATCTTATTTATTACCTCAATCGTATTTATTTGGATAAAAGTACCTCTTTAATAGCTAAAAGTATACTCAAAGAGAGATCTCGTAAGGCTAATTTTTTCAGACTCGTGCCTTGTTATTTAGAAAGTACACTGAATCGTGGTATATCGTACTTAGCGTGTTCTGGAGTAAGACCTTATAGTACTCGGTGTCTGTATGTCATTACGGATCGGCACAAAGTAAGAGTGGTTTATCCAAAAGTACTGCTAGCTTGGGAGTGACAAAGTACTTACTATTCTATAAATATATTCCACATACCGTTGTTAAAATAAACACAGATCGTTTCAATAAGTCCGATACGTTTTTATTGATCCTTTTCCCGTCCAAATGTTTTTGAGAAGCTTCCTGTTTATCTGTGGGACAAGCAGCGTATGGCAAGTCCATCCCAGAGTGTCTGGAAAGTTCATCATGCTCTAGATCCCTGTGTTTCCATCTGTCTGAACAAAATTAACAAAATTAACCCATCCTCTGTCCCATTCCCTTAGTCACCCATCCTGCTAAAGTCGTTACGGGTGACGCATTACACTCATAAATAACACATTCTTACCTCTTTGTAAAGTTAATGCTTTCATGTAAGAAGCGGGCAGAAGTTTCAGACTTTTTTTCAAGTCGGTTGAAAAGAGAGCTTTGAGCAGGTAAGCTGGTTTATTATTTTTTGAATCATATTCTATTCTGCTACTTGCCATTTACTACACATTGATCTACTCTGGAGAGAACTGACGTAAGTATGTGTAGAAGGTAGGATAATTTTCCAGGACTTCTTGGCCATTCTGCCCAACTAATGGATGTTTGAATAACAGAAGACACACATCACATGGAGTTTGGACTGGGCCCATGTTTGTACAAGGGTTTCTCTGTTTCGGGGAGGAAAAGAATGATGTATACATGGCTGGCACTTTAAAGAAACACCAGCCTGTCTAGCCAGTCATTAGTGAGGTATGCCGTTGAATTAGTGGAAGACTTCCAGGTATGCACTGGTCGGTCCTTGTGTAAGCAGTGAATCAAGCCCTGACCCTAGGCCAGGCAGTGCCCAAATAGCAAGAAAGGTACTAGATGTTATCTCCTCCACGGGATCAGATTTTTATACAAATTTAAAAAGATGTGGGCAGAAGTAACTAATTTCAATCTGTCTTTTCCTTTTAATGTTTTTATTTAAAAATATTTCAATCTCTCTGAGATTTTGAGAGGATAGGAGTATATATATATTTTTTTTTACAAAGCACTGAACTTGAAAAGCAAGTGGGACATTAAGAACAGAGAAAGCCCTACAGAGTAGTTCAGACTTCATTATTACAGACCTCAAATTCTGTTTTAGGCTCCGCCACTGTCATGATGTAAATGTACACGTGACTCTTCAGCACCCCATATTTTCTGTCATCTCCTCCTCCTACCTCAGAGCAGCTTTTCTCTTTGCCTGTGTTTTTAAGGCCCGTGTTCTCAAACAGCGAAATGTTCTCTTAAAATAGTTCTCATCTTAGCAGACTGGTTGTTGAAATAAGCTACCTGTTGTCAAGACAAAGATAATCAAAATATATAGGAATCATCTCTGATCCGAGGATTGAGTCTCTGGTTTGAAGAGGTCAGGCTCTCCCTAGAAAGGAAAGGGCTTTTCCTGAAGAGTTTTCTAAGTTTATATTAAAGATTTAAAACCTACACTGGCCAAGTACACACAATTCAATACATTCCAGTTTTCATCTTTGCTCTGTACAGTCCCACCTGGCATTGCTTAGTGTGTCACCCTTTCATCGCTCTCAAGTGAGTCTTCATGGTTTCTCCCAATAGACCACCTTCTACTTTTGTTCTCATTCTCCTTTGTCCTAGACTCTGCTTTCTTCCGTTAAAGCCCAACCCAAAAGCCACAAAAGCTTTCTTGACAGTCCCTGCCCTCAAAATGGCTCTGCTCCCGTGGTCTAGCCCTTGAAGGTCAGTACTTGTCAGTGGGTCACCCTGTAATAATATAATGATATCTAATGGTGTGCTATTTATATCAGAGACCTGTTTAGGTGCTAAACCCATGTTAGCTGATACTCCCAGCAATCATACGAAGAGGACTCTTTTTTTTTAGAGAAGGGAGGGTAGAGACTGGGACCCTGCCCAGCAATCAAAGACACACGTGCCTGTGGGTTTGACCACCATGTTCCTCTATGAAGACTCTCATCGTTTATATAAGTTTTACATCTTCCATTGTGTGCAGCAGGAAGTTAGTGTGTTATCACTAAATAGTGACTAATGTCAGAATTAAAAGACCAAATATACTTGAGTGTACACAGTCTTATATTATTTTACATTGACGTTGAAATCTGGGAAGAAATAGGAAAGAGTGGCCACTTTAAGAGTCTGTTTAAATCCTCGACATCACCGCATTTACGTGATATTTGAGAGTTCCAAAGGAGCCAGTCG